CCCCTGTATATATGTATGAGGCGGAGGTGGTGTAGTGACAAGTGGCGCGCTTACCACTCGCGCGGCGCCGGGTTCGAATCCCGGGTCGACACCCGCCCAGGCCAACCAAGCCTTCTACCCTCCGGGGACGGTAAATTGGTACCAGATTCGTCTGGGAGGATAAAACACTGACTTGTACATCGGCTGGCCACCGCAAGTCATTGTATAGGCCACATCGCATTCAATAAGCCACTACGATTCTGAATGGAAGTAGAATGCGTGCCGCATCCCACAAAGGGATTGATCAACGGCGAAGACTTTATCCTTTATCCTTTTATATATGTAAGTATGTATGTATATTTGACCGTCCAAAATGCTTCACTGGCTTCAGATTGCTGAATTCATGTCGCGGGTAGCAGTAATTGTAGGAAGTAATTCAAAAGGAAGTTATAGTGGGTGGGAAGAGAATACTAGTGATGTGTGTGACAGAACCTTATCACAGATGATAAGATCCGATAGGAGACTATAGAATGTGGAAAAATCGGAAGATTCGCCAGCGCCGGTTGCAGCAAGTTTAGGAAGTCAGTTTCATCAGGTGATATAGAGGGCTGGTTGAAAACACTGTTGGTGGGTTAGGCAACGTTCAGACTTCGCGATGACACCGCTTCAATCGCGCGCGTTGGACGCGATCGACGCAGTCGAAAATGTGCGCATCGATCACCAAATTGCGCGACTGGAGTGCTACCGTCGCGAAGTCTGAACGCTGCCTTACAGACGTTATCACAGCTGATAAGACCGCATAAGAGGCCACGGGAGGTAAAGTCGTGAAGTTCATAGCGCAGTCGTAGCAAGCGTAGGAAGACAGTCTCACAAGGCTACAAAGGGTGCAGAACCGGAACATCAATAAGTGGTGGCAGACAACGATAACAACTGACAGGGGCTGATGGGGGACGTCACCAGGCGCTACAAGTTTCACACTGTCAAATTATTGATGACAGGGCACAGCATTCGATGGGGATTTTGGTCGAGCCTGTACGACCCCCCCCTTTTTGGGGGTTCGGTACGACCCCCCCTTTTTGCGGGTTCGGTACGACCCTCCCTATATCTAAACTTATAAAATTTCTTCCCCCCCCCCCCCGAGGAGGAATAAACTTC